GCCAAAAACGAAAATTTGGAAGAAATTGAAGGGGTACCCCTTGGAAAAATCTCGGAAAAATCGAAAATTTTTTTTTGTTGTTTATGATTAGCAATGTTTTTCCGACGTCTGATTTCTTTTTAAAAAATGCGTTTCTAAAGTGCATAAACTTTTGGGATTGACTGTATAGCCAATACATCCTTAATTTGTAACAATACGCGCAACAGAAACAAAACTCGTCGTGAATCCATTCAATTAGTATTTCATTACATCGCTGTGCTTACAACCTGATATTCATCTTGCGTTGCATATTAAATGTATTGTTACGGGTACACAATGCAATAAATTCTTGATATGAATGTATCGAAATTTTACACTTACAATGTTAGATACTACGATAAATATTCCACCCATTTTTTTTTATTTAACATATAACTTTATACTAATAACGTTTATTACGGAAAACAATTTAAAAGTTACACACGTGATTTCCTATGATTCAGAAAAATATTTTTTTAAATAAAACTAATAGTTTGGAAGTTGTCTATTGATACTTTCAAACAATTTAGCTAATCGTAAAATTTTCAGTCACATGTGATTTCACAGTCACATCACTGATATGTACAGTGATCGTTTTTCTGACATTGAATCTCCAACGTGTTGCAAAGGACAAATTTTTGTAACCAATTTTCTTATCACGTGTGCATTATATAGCGTGCGCTAAATTACAGAACATGTGAAACTATTTATTTTTAGTCATCGACCAGTTGAGACTCTGGCTACAATCCAGATTTAACATTCGTGTATGTAATAATGTTGTAGGTGAACCTTTGCATTCATAAAATACGATTCGGTAGCCAGAAAGAAGCTTACGTTCTGGTCCTAAAATATGCTTATTAATATGAAAGAAAGCTTCTCTCATAATAGATTGTATACTACGGTTATTTTTAAGTTAGGTTTAACTAATTGTGAACCCTGGTAGTATCGTTGCATATTTCCTATACCTTCATGTCTATAAGTAATTAAATATATATTTGCATACGTGCACTTTAGACCATGCCATTATGTAAAGGAACGATCTTTATAATTAAACAATACTCTTCAATTGTAATTTTCGCCAAGTGGTGAGGGATTGATCACATGTGATTCGGGGGGAGCCTCCGTCCATGCGGACATTCGCCATGTGATCTCATAAGGATGAATGACAAATTTAATAGAAAGGTCAAGGTCACTAGCAATTTATGTCCAACGACATATTGTACCATAATGATGATCTCATCTGGAGTACGGTCACACTACTCCTATTGTGAATAAGGTAGAGATAATCAGTGAATAAAACGAATTAACATTTTTAAATTAAATGCTCTATGATAATTAAATTATAATAAATACAGTTGTGAAAAATGGATGATCCTATTTTACAAGCAAATAAGTATTAAAATACTACGTGCGTAATATAGATATAAAAGATAACGTAAGAGCTTGGCACAGTGGTTACTTAGGTTTTTTAAGTTACTTAGTTACTTAGGTTTTTTAAGTTGAATTATCACAGCTTAACGAGAGTAAAAATCTACAATATTTTTTAAATAGTTCGAGTTACCTTGCCACTAAGATATCGTCTCGTCCCAATTTCTCACTCACGTTGCAAAACGCGGTCGTGAATCGATCTTTGCTCTCCGAGCTTTAGCCTGCATTTACGCTATCTCTGCCAGCCTGCAGACAATGAATCCTCATATTTAACGGGAATGACAAGCGATAGGAAAATGGGAAAAATCGGAAGGTTTAAAAATACGAGTATGTCTCTTGAAGAAAAAATAAAACGCGAGTGATGTAATCATCAGCGTAATCATCTTACACATATTGTTAATGTAACTTCCTTTATTACCTTTCTACATAAACGATTGACTTCAATTACGTTATCATAAAATCGAGAATAGCGATGCAAGATTAAGAATGTGTATAAAACATTTTCAGAAAAGATATAATATTGCACGATTTTAATTAAGAATTGCACAATTTTAATTAATTTCATGATTTTCTCGTAGTATAGACTGATAATGAACTTTAACGCAAGACCTTCTGATCTCCAGACAAGGCTCCTGATTTATCAGAGTCTTTACGATTATTCAATTTCTCATGAACGAAGTACTTGCCCTGTCATGCAATTTCTTTATAGAACTTGAATTATAAATTGCCTGGCATGCTCGAAATCGACATTATTCTAATTTATATTCTCCTAATTAATAATCTATTGGTAAAGTAGATACAATTGCAGCATTGTATCAAAAACCTTTTATTAATAGCAAGGTGAGCCATCGAGATAAAATTCGTAATAATATAAATAATATGGTCACGAGATTAGTATGTGAGTCCATTCTTTACGTGCGTAGACAGATTACGGATACAGCTTGTGGGACAAACTTATAATTATACGTCATCTGTTCTTTTTACGTAAGCCATCAGTCTCTTGCGGTTATTAGTTAAAGTCCGTAAAGTTCTACCCATGTTGCGAGTTTAACTGATTCCATGAAAAACCATTTACGTCGTAAAATTCCTCAATCATCCTTATTGCTATTAATACGAGCATTTAGAGAAACAAAAAATGTTTCACGGTAATGCAGTCTCTACTACTGTATATTTCCTTTTAAGCAATACTTATGACATTTGCACAACTGAACACATTTAAAGAATAATTAAATTCTTTTGTTTTGCAGAAGATAACTTCAACCGTATTCTTGAGATCATTAAGCGATACCTCCACCGATCTAAAGAAGGTTTTGGCTGAAAAAATTCCTCAGGAACAAGAACGCGTGAAGGCTTTCCGTAAGCAGCATGGAGGTACTAAAGTTGGTGAAGTCACCGTGGACATGGTACGCACTCAACACTCATCGTTATCGTGCACTTTAGATTTTAAAACTTTACATTTCAAAAGTTTAAAACGCGACGCGTAGAGTATCTGCTATTCTAATGATTTATTGCAAGAACTATACGTCAGACGATGACGATTGCGTATTAGCATATTGCCACGTGGAGGAATACTTAATGGAGACAAGCTTTTTGTAACACCGATAAGATGTATGATAGAAATTCCCAAATAAACGCATGTCGCGTGCTTATCATGTGATCGCGATATAGGCAAATTTTTAAGCGGTGGAAAAATTCTGGCTATCTAATAATAGTCGTGCAACAGAAATTCGTACTCTTTATATCGACGATCGATGAACTTTGTTCCTGTGGAGTATTTAACAATTTTTTGACTGTGATACAGTTCATTGTGCCTAATGACTGAAGAAGTCTAATCTGACTGAAGAACTTACATAATATCTAAATCTTTCTTTTTTCCGTCAAATTAAACCATAATTAAGTACTAATTAAGTGAGTTCAAAGTACGCGTGCTCGTTACATCATAGATCAATGCCAATGAACCTATTTCAGACCTTTTTCTTTGCTTTTTTAATCTTGACCTGGGGATCGTATGATAATTTGACTTTTGTTACAATTTAGATGTACGGTGGCATGCGTGGAATTAAAGGACTCGTATGGGAACCCTCGGTCCTGGACCCTGAAGAAGGTATTAGATTCCGAGGAAAATCAATTCCAGAGTGTCAAAAATTGCTTCCGAAAGCTAAAGGCGGAGAGGAACCACTGCCGGAGGGTTTGTTCTGGCTTCTGATAACCGGCGACGTACCCACCGATGCCCAAGTGAAAGCCATTTCTCAAGAATGGGCATCAAGGAGCGCACTGCCTGACCACGTGGTCAAAGCTCTGAATAATTTCCCAAAGACCCTTCATCCTATGTCTCAGTTCTCCGCTGCGATTACAATTTTAAACAGCGAAAGCGAATTTGTAAAAGCGTACACGCAAGGTGTACACAAATCTAAATACTGGGAGACTGTTTACGAAGATTCGATGAATCTGATCGCCAAACTGCCCGTAGTCGCTGCGGCAATTTACAGGAACATTTACAAGGGTGGTAAAGGCTTAGGATCAGTCGACGCGGGCAAAGATTGGTCTTGGAACTTCGCGAACATGCTCGGTTATGATAACGCTCAATTCATTGAGCTGATGCGTCTGTATCTCACGATACACTCCGATCACGAAGGTGGAAACGTGTCTGCACATACCACTCACTTAGTGGGATCAGCATTGTCCGACCCATACTTGTCCTTCGCGGCCGGTATGAATGGTCTCGCTGGCCCTCTTCACGGTCTAGCCAATCAGGAGGTATTAGTGTGGCTGGAGAAACTGCGCTCTCAAGTTGGAGACAGTCCCACCGACGAAAAGTTGAAGGACTTCATTTGGAACACGCTGAAGAGCGGTCAGGTTGTTCCTGGATACGGTCATGCTGTATTGAGAAAGACTGATCCTAGATACACATGCCAGAGAGAATTTGCATTGAAACACTTGCCGGACGACAAACTATTTAAGGTAAAATTTCTAAACATTTCAATAGAAATAATATTCATTTTCTTTTAATCATTTTTTAATTTTTCACGATGTTGTTTCTGTATTTTCAGCTGGTTTCTCAAGTATACAAAGTTGTTCCTCCGATTCTGTTGGAAACTGGTAAGGTAAAGAACCCATGGCCGAATGTAGACGCTCATTCGGGAGTTTTGTTACAATACTACGGCATGAAAGAAATGAATTATTATACCGTCCTGTTCGGAGTATCGCGTGCTCTTGGTGTTCTCGCGTCTCTCGTTTGGGATCGTGCCCTCGGTCTTCCGATTGAGAGGCCTAAATCTTTAAGCACCGATCTCCTCATGAAGAGCGTCAAAGGCTAAACGACATTTCTATTTATGAAAAATCAGAATCATTGAAATCTTTTAAGTTTCTAAGTTCGTGTCACACCATCATCATGATTTCGGAAATAAGGAACTGACTACTTTCTATCATTTACTGAGAATATTATTATTAATTCACGGAAATGTGTAATCTTCTCAAACTCATTTACGGATTCATATCAATGTGACTTCAAAGAATTCACTATAATATTGTTGAATCTTGTTAATATGTGAGACTATGTGTGTATTAAAACAGCACATAATCACGTCTCATGTAGCGATATATTGCTCGAACGTAGGACGACATTAAGAAAAAAAAAGAAGTCGTGTATCATGAAATCCTTTACCTATATTTTATAGTCTGTTAGTAAAACGCAGATTTTACGTAAATAAGGTAGAGGTTTCATAAAACCAGCTGTGAAAAACATAGATCCGGTATACATAGTTTTAACTGCCAAGCCCTTGAAAAGAGAGATGACACACACATCAACAGTAGACATGGTTCATTGTAAATATATTTGTCGCTTTATATTTAACTTAAATAGTGACAATTTTAGAAGTAAGAGCGATACGATCCATTGTAATAAAAAAGAAGTTAGTGATATTAAAGTATTCAGTGCAAAAAGATCGGTATGTGTAGTGAGTGTTTCTAAAAAGGAGAAAGACATTGTACATTAAAGAGACACTGCCAAGGATAATAACAGAACTTGTAGAATATAATTGGAATGCGGTATACACCTTTACTGTTCTTATTTTAACAAAAATGCATTGCGTGACTATTAGGAAAACATATTAATCTCAGAAATTGATTGTTCTTATTAGTAAAATATGTAAAGTAGAAAACGAATAGGGCTAATAAAATACATTAAGAACGTTGCAGTGTTAGCATACCAGATGCTGATTTTAGATTCTTCAAAAGCGCTATACAAGAGCTCTTTTCCATTGAGCTATTTCTGTTTACACAAATTAATAAAGAAAGAACAATGACCAGTGGTAGATGCACTGTTACGAGAATGAGTGAGTGTGTGCGATACTTTATTTATAACGAACGTGAAAATAAACATCTTTAAAAATGATATTTGCTTTATATTTTATAACACTTTAGTCTGCTAATATCGAAAATAGGAAGAAGGAAATGAAAATATATCCATTAATTTAAAAAATAATTTCGAATCATAAAATTAGAAAATTGATTTATTAAATGTTTGTATTTTTTACTTTTCGTAAATGGGAATTTGATAAATATACATTAATCTCAGTTTTTACATTAATTAACAAGCTCATCTGCAAATATTCCATAGCCACCACATAAACCTATTAATAATAAATCAATCAAAATTAAATGTTTTTATAATTTCCTAATTTAGATGGATTAAAAGTAAATCATATAGACGTATACATAAATGCGATTCGCATAAAATTGTTAAACAAAATAAGGCAACCCATAACTTGTACTATGTATTTCAAAATTCTTATATACATATATATATATATATATATATAACTTAAACTTTGATAATCATTTATTATGATGTTTGTATCCATAGTCATAGTAATGCTATATTCCAGACAATTAATTGTTTCATTTCTCAATATGAGAAAACTTTTGTTTATTTTTATTTTTGTGAAATGTTAAATGTATGATCTCACTCTACTTTAGACGGCATTTGTTTTTTGTATAATGATCTTAAATTCTAAATCATCTTTTTAATATGTTATCAGTGTTTCAAATTTGACTGATTTATTAAATACCAGAATGATTTTAATAATCAATTATGAGATAAATAAGATAGTTATCAAATAAATACGACGAATAAAAAATATCTTACAAAATTCATAATACATTTAACAATACAATGAGTTATGCATGCGGAAACAATTTTTTAAACGTCGATTTACTATAAAAATCGTATCGAACCTTATCATTATTAACAACCATCTCACTGTTGAACCCATGTATCACAGAGCAGTTTTCTGCTTCTAAGTATTTAATAGAATCGGTTAAATAGAATCGCCAAAATGTCTTTTAAACTATTGTATCAAGCGCTAAGAAGTAGTGAAATTCTTACACAGAAAGTTGAAAAATATGCAGTTTAATCGGTGTTATGTCGGAGTTGATTTTTTACAATCGTTTACTATTAATGCTGAGTATAAAAAACTATGTACATTGGTATATTTTTGGAAATCGTACAGGCCAAACAATTTTTATCAAGTTAACGGAACAGAATTAATAAATAATCTATTACTCTTTTTATAAACATAGGTGGACGGGACGGAATCAAGATTAAAATTTTTATCATTCAAATATGTGTCCAATATTTACATTAAATTTTTTATTGAATTAAAATTATTTGATATTTTGCAGGCAATTTTAAATGCAACATTACATAGCTATAAATTAATACAATTATGAGAAAACATATTTCGAGCCAATATGTTGTATTCGGCAGTTGCAAAATGTTCATATTTATTATACACAAATAAAACGTTCGTCATAAAAATAGTTTTCGTAATGCAATGATATTTCCTATAAAAGAGCCTTGACATTCTAAACTGTTTCATTTTGTTATAATGTAGTGCTCCATATGCTTTACATAGAGAATATTTGAAACATCTTTACTTTGATATTATAAATGTTACGATTTGCCATTATTTTTTATATCACATAAATAGAGAAGACGAAGTTTACCCGTCCACCGCTTATTATATTAAATGCCTGCAGTAATAATTTTAATCAATATATGCAGTTACACTTTACGATATGCGTGAAGCTAGTGTACCAGTTGAAAAATGATCATCCGTTGGTCATTTGTACAATTGTTAGAGTGGCACAATAACTTACACGGAACATATACTTTACATTTTAGATATCTTGTTAGGTTCAAAATCAGTTCTCATAATGTACGTCATGTCTTTTTTAAACGTCCAACAATCCACTCAAGACCTTGGTATAATCTGTAACATTGATACATAAATGATCATTGTTATGTCCTCTAAATTAATAGGAGTATATGGTTTTGCATTGTGTCCTTACCCTTCTCCAGTAAGTGCGCAACAACTTTGTATATGCCACTGATGTTTCTTAATCGAAGTCAAATCTAGCTGTCTAGAAATTTCAGCCGCTGTCATGCTACCCTTTAAATCTTGCTTGTTAGCATAAACTAAAACATTAGCTTTACTTAATTCCTCATGGTTTAACATAGAGTATAATTCTTCTCTTATTACACCAAGTCTTTCTCTATCTGTGCTGTCTATAACCATAATTATAAACTCAGTGTTCGTGTAATAGGTGGACCATGCTGCTCTTAAGCTTTGTTGTCCACCCAGATCCCACATTATGAAATGAATATTTTTCCAAACAACTTCTTCAACGTTAGATCCAATAGTCGGTGATGTATGAACAACCTCGTTCATTAGGAACTGGTATAATATAGTTGTTTTACCAGCATTGTCTAATCCTACCATTACTATCTTATGTTCTGGAAAATGAAGCAATTATAAATCACAAAGGTCTAATATAGTTTTTAAGTCATGATTATAGCAAGTAATTTAT